TATATATATATATATATATATATATATATATATATATATATATACTGTTTAGAGGCCTTGAAAAGATATACAATTATAACAATAAATGGGGTGTATATACAACATAAAAAGAAATAAATAAAAATTATAAATGAGGTGTATATACACCTGAAGAGGAGTCGAATAAACTATCAGCTGAGGTGTATAGGCACCTCAGGGTGGAACCCAACAAAAAATATAAATGGGGTGTATATACACCTAAAGAAAGAAGAAAATTAAAATTATAAATGAGGTGTATATACACCTGAAAATTAATTTAATTAAAAAAAGATGAAATAAAATAAACTGTAAATGAGCTGAACATACACCTGAAATAGAGATAGCTTATATTGCGGTGTATATACACCTCAATATAAATAAATAAATAAATAAATAAATAAATGCAAATATTTATACTGAGGTGTATATACACCTCAGTATAAATAAATAAATACAATAAAAGCAGCTGATGGGGTGTATATACACCTCAGCACAAACAAATATAAAAAACAGCAGTTAAGGAAAAACAAACGAGCTGAGGTGTATAGGCAGCTGCTGCACCTAAAGCTTTGATTAGCTGGGGTGTATAGACAGCTGACGAATTCTCTCTTTTCTCTTTTCTTGTCTTTTTATCTCTTTTTTCCTTTCTCTGCGGTGTATTTGTCTCTCCATTTCCTCTCTCTAGGGTTTAGGGTTTAGGGTTTAGGGTTTATTCGCTCTCACTTTCTCTCTCTAGGGTTTAGGGTTTATCCTCTCTGTCGCTCCACTTTCTCTCTCTAGGTTTTAGGGTTTAGTGCCTGCTCGTTCGTTATCTCTTCTCTGTATCTTTTGTCTCTTCTGTAGCTTTCTTTTGTCTCCTTTCTGTCTCCTTTCTGTCTCCTTAGTTGTTTGTTTATATTTATTTAGAGGGTGAGATGTTTCTCTGTTTTTGTGTGTATACACAAACAACAGCTAAACAACAATACAACAAAAATAATATAAATAATAATAATAATAATAAACAGTACACACAAACAAAAACAAACAAACACGCATGCATGCATGCATGCATGCATGCATGCGTTTTTCTCCTTCAGAACAGACGAAGACGCTGGGTAATATTCAGGTGTATGTACACTCCATCACACGTTATATTATGAGTTGCTGCAGAGGGGAAATATCTGTATAACAATTTGTTAGTAGCAACAGCAGCAGCAGCAGCAGCAACAGCAACAGCAGCAGCAGCAGCAGCAGCAGCAGCAAGGAAGCATAACAGCTGCTGCGGTAGCAGCAACGAAGCAGCAGCAGCAACAGAAGCAGCAGCAACAGCAGCAGCAACAGCAGCAGCAGAAGTTGTATCGACAGCAATTGATGTTATCTGAATACTGTCAGTATATATTATTTATATAAACTGAGGGAGAGGGGGAGAAGAAGTGGTTTTATATTTCCTTTTTTTTTTATGGTTGCTTTGGTGTTGTTGGGTGAGGTGTACATACACCGCAGCAATGGTAGCGCCATAGTACCTCTATATTACAAAAAAAAAGAATAAATAATAAAAACTATTATTTTTAATTAAATATTAAAATAAATATTTCATTTATTTTGGGTTTATATACACACAAACACCACAGGGAGGCTTCCTTCTTCTGCTGGGGCTGCAGCAGCTGCAGTGACAGCTTGGGGTGTATAGGCAGCTGCTGCGGGTGTATGTATGCGTTCAATATCTCGCGGAGAAATAAATGATTTTTAAAATATATTTGGGGGAGAAAGCAGTAAAATATATTCGTTTTTCAGGTGTATGTACACCTGAGCTGCCTCCATAGGGCAGCGCATGCAGCTCGATAGCAACAGGGGGGGGTAGATTATATATATATTTTTTTCTTTCTTTTTGCGTTTTCTTTTTTTTTTTTTCATTGTTTTTACAATGTCTTTCTTTATTTCAAGAGCTGCTGCAGCAGCAGCAGCAAAAAGTTTTTATTATCCTCGTTCCCCTCCCTTTTGCCGTTCTGCTGCTGCAGCCTTCTCGGGTGTATCTACACCTCATGCAGCCCCCCAACAGCAGCAGCAGCAGCAGCAGCAGCAGCAGCAGCAGCAGCATCAGCAGCAGCAGCAGCAGTCCAGTATACACATAACCACAAACTCAGAACCCTTCGATGTCTTCATCGTTGGTGGAGGGGTGGCGGGCACAGCTCTGCTCTATGAGCTCGCTACTTTCACCAGTAAGAAGGGTTTAGGGTTTAGGGTTTAGGGTTTAGGGTTTAGGGTTTAGGGTTTTAGGGGGTTACAGGCTAGGGTTTGTGGGGTGTTTGGGTTTTGTTGTGTTGCGTATATCTGAAGAAGGTGGGGTTATTAAAAATTCTGCAGTGGCAGAGCATCTAGGGTTTAGGGTTTAGGGTTTAGGGTTTAGGGTTTAGGGTTTAGGGTTTGTTGTTCAGACCTAAAGAAGGTGGGGTTGGTAGAGAAAAGAGGAGGGTTTGGCCTGGTGCAGTCTCACCCCAAAAACAACTCACAAACCATACACTGCGGAGACATAGAGACAAACTACACCCTAGGTAAACCCTAAACCCTAAACCCTAAACCCTAAACCCTAATTTTCATGTTTGTTGGTTAGTATAAACCCTCAGTTTTATACACCCAGAAAGGTTTTTTTCTTCTGCTCTTGCAATGGTGGTTTCGATCCTCCTCATCTGCTGATATCTAGGGTTTAGGGTTTAGTGTTTATCTAGGGTTTATGGTTTAGGGTTTAGGGTTTATGAGGGTTTAGGGTTTAGGGTTTGGGGTTTGTTGCAGCAAAGGCAAAGATCGTCAAGAGGCAGGCGGATATGCTCCGCAACTTCGCCACCAAATTGGCCCCAGAAACCCGAGACAAGTGAGGGTTTAGGGTTTAGGGTTTAGGGTTTATGAGGGTTTAGGGTTTATGAGGGTTTGGGGTTTATGAGGGTTTGGGGTTTATTAGGGTTTAGGGTTTATTAGGGTTTAGGCTTTAGGTTTATTGCCTCCTTTGGCTTTCTTTTTCTCCTCTTTTCCCTGACTTTACTTATATATTGAATTCATACATACATGGATGCATGCATGCATGCATACATGCATACAATAAATACCTGCATGCATGCATGCATGCATGCATGCATACACTTACTAGGCGCATGCATGCATGCATGCATGCATGTATTGAATTACTTGGGTGCATGCATGCATGCATACATTTACTAGGCGCATGCATGCATGCATGCATGCATGGATCGAGTGAATATTTCTAAGCAATAAAGATAAATGTATGGCGTAAAAGATGTATAAATCTATGATTTTTTTTTTTTTTTTTTTTTTTTTTTTTTTTTTTTTTTTTTTTT